CACTGACCCGAAAACCCCGTGATCGGAAACCATATCCCTGGACCTTTCTCGAGCCACCTTAGACCAACCACCCAAACCCGAACCTTAGGGTTTCCGGTTTAGGGTTTAGGGTATACCAACCACCCAGACTCGAACCTTAAACCTCGAGCCTTCAACCATAAACTCTAGATTCTGAATCCGGAAGCCTCAAGCCATACATTTTCTTAACCTTGCAGCTCTCCGTGCGCGCAGGCACCCCCAGTGGCGCCTTTCCGCAGACCCCAGCCATGCCTTTCTGGTGAAAGTGCACATTGCAACCCTGAGCCCGAAGCCTTGAAGCCCACTATGGGTAGTTGTCAAAATTAGGATCCCTTTTTGGGAACCCTAAGTATTAGGTGCCTTATTACAATAAGGGCCCAAAAGGGACCATAATTTTGACAACCATTCATAGGGGAATCGGAATAATGAATAAGAGTACCTTGCTTGGTGATTATGTCTGAGCAAGTTTCTATGTCTTGCCTGTTCCAACATAGATTATCTGCCCTAGAAGTCCCTGTGCGATACTCTCCGAGGGGCAGGAATATGCTGCCGCTGGTTGGCCAGGAGTCGCCGTAGTCAGTAGCGGGCTGTGTGCCCTGGTACTGCGACGTCTGACGTGTTTTGTCGTAACTTAGGGGCCTGAAAAGGGTAGAATAGGGTTTCGGGGTATATTATACCATAATTACAATCAGGAGCCCCCAAAATAGTATTGGTCATTATTTGGGCTTCTATAGTAGTTTTGCTGCTCGTTCTCCGACCTTCTTCGTCGCAGGCCCAAGCCGTAAACCCCGAGAAACTCTTATCCTTTCCACGTAGAAAGCTGCTGACGGGGGAAGGAACAAGAAAGCCAGGACAAAAACGCGAAGCGGCTTGTGGGTTATGGCGTCAGGTGGCTGAAGGTCAAGCAGTGAAGGTTTTTCTTGCTAGGAGAAAAGATCCTAGGGACCCTTATGGGGGGTAGGGGGGAGGGGGCTAGGGGACTACACTTCCTTGAATAAGCCTTTTTGAGTCCTTAAAATAGGTATCAACCCTAAACCCTAAACCCTACCCCCTAAGGGTCCTTATGAAAAAAGCATGGCACAGAGCTGTGAAGTTGTAGGACCCAAACTAGAGACCCAAGAAGGACATAAGCATAAGCGTTTTATAGGGATGTCCCTACCTTATTGAGCTTCATTGTAGAGGGTTACCTATCCTAATTTTTTCCTGTGTTTTTGCAGGGCCCTAGCTAAAAGGCTGCTACTCCCAGATCTTAGAGCTTCAGCCAAATGTCCTGAACTCCATCACAGCATCCGACAAAACTCTGGAGACAAAACACAGAGGCCACAAACCTAGGGTCTTGCTGCATTCCCGAAGTTTCATGGGCTGGAGTAGAAAGGGAAGAGCCTTAAGGGCTGTACTCGTCGAGATGTAAAGTTTAGGGCTTGGGGCTTAGGGTATAGGAATCCGGTCTTCCTAAACCCTGAAACCTAAACCCTCTTAGGATACACTATCTGGTTGAGGCAACTTCCCTATAAACATGCAAGTCGACGTCTCAGCCTCTGACCTGGAGCTCCAGCTTTGAACCCTTGGCACTCATTGGATCCTCGTGCTTTTGGTGCTTAAATGATGAGACCAAAGCACCAAAATCCTAAACCCTAAAGGATACCATAAACCCTAAACCCTAAAGAATACCCTAAACCCCAAACCCTAAACCCTAAGCCCTAAAGAATGCCCTAAACCCTAAACTCTAAACCCTAAACCCTAAAGAATGCCCTAAACACTAAACTCTAAACCCTAAACCCTAAAGAATACCCTGAACCCTAAACTCTAAAATCTAAACCCTAAACCCTAAAGGATGAGGATCCTACTTCGACAGCCCCGGGCTTGACTTAGGCCTTGCGCTTCGGGATGCGGGCTTTGTGTTAGGGTTTAGGGTTTGGGGTTCAGGGTATTCTTTAGGGTTTAGGGTTTGGGGTTTAGGAATCGCAAGGCCCCTTAATTCTGCACTGCGTTGCTTTTGGCTCTGCTCGCAAGCTCATTTTTCGGATTGCCCTCTTGAGCTTCAGCCCCAAGCATGGTTTGGGGTTGAGGGTTTCAGGGGAAGCCGTGCTATTGTTGATGGACAAAATCCTGCATGACCCTAAGGACTCTAAACTATGGGAACTATGGTATATTCCTTGTAATGGGTAATGCAGGATGTTGTCCATCAGCAGTATGCAGAGTTTCTGCATATTTCCTGGAAGGAGTTGTGGAACCCGAAACCTTGCATAGAGAAGCCCACGCCAGAAGACCTACTTGGAGGGTCGGGGGGGTTATAGGTACCTAAAAGGGTTATGGTACTTATATTATAAGCTCTAAAATGGCTAGTTACCAGGTCCCCCGACCCTCCAAGTAGGGTCCTAGCCAACAGCCCCCAAAGGCACAAGCCCCAAAGTCTGAATCCCAGACCCCCAAAATTGGAGTTTCCGAAAATAGAGGGCCCTAATATGGTACCCTAAATCGTAGGATCCTTATTATAAAGACCCCCAAAATAAGGTGCTCCTACTTTTCGGAAACTCCCAAATTTTGCAACCCGGAAACCTCGAGCCGGACTCCCCAACCTAGCAACCCTCACCTCCTACCAGAGCCCTGGACCTTGTGAGTTCAAGATGGGTAGTTTTCTAAATTAGGGTTCCTTTTGGGGTCCTTGTTATAAGGGTGTCGTACTATGTTGGGGGCCTAAATCTAAATAAAGAGGGACCCTAATTTAGAACGCTACCCGCTTCATAAGATTTTGGTTGTCCACTGGCTGTGTCAGCCATTGGATCCGGAGCCAGTGCCATTTCCGCCGCGGCCGACGTCGTCATGAACGGCGGCACTGCAGGCCGCGTGGCGGGGGGGAGGGCAGCAGAGGCTTCAGTCGTTCGTTTTGTGCTAAGGGCCTTAATAATGGGAATAGGGTTTGGGGTTTTCTTATGCTACAACTATAGTAAGGAAACCCCAAGACCCTCCTCTAATTCTTAAGGCCTCTACAGTAGGAGAAATTGTAGAAACAGGGGTCGATCACCGCTGTTCCTACAGTCTAAAGACTCGGATCCCGTATCCCCGCCGCCGAAATCCCAATCTCCCAGAGAGCCCAATACCCCTTAATTAAGGAATATAGTTTACATCATAATATGAAGCCCCTTATAGTTTAAGGTATATTCCTTAATTAAGGGGTATTGGGCTCTCCGGGCTCTCGACACCGGACCCCGAGTCCCAAACCCCAGCTGTAGGCTTGTGGCAGCATCTTTGTCATAGTTGGGAAACATTTTACATTTCTATGGGTACTTAACACCCAATAAGGAATAACCATGTAAATTTTTAATCCTATCCCAACCATGAACTAGGCAACAAACATAGCGGTTATGGTAGAAGTGGTAGTGCTGGCAAGAGTAGTGCCCATACTGGCAATAACAACAACGATTTCCCCGCAAAAAGCGCAATGCTACGACAATTTGGTGGCAGGAACAAAGTAGAGTAATTACGGGGACAGGGCAATCCTACTGTAACAGGCCGTCAGATACTCGCAAGCTGCCCTTGGCCTTGCACACCTACAGGCCGGGACAAGGTTTCAGGCCCGGGATTTTAGGGTTCAGGGTTGAGGGCTCAAAAGCCCAAGTATTGCGACCTTGCGGAACCATCGACGCTTGCAGCCCAGGCCCTCAATCCTTGTTGTCCCTAAGCCCGAAGATCTTCGGCCCCGCTTTTGGCGGTGGGTGAATCCCGAAATTTGGATAATCCGCCTGGCCACAAGGCCGCGCTGTGTCCGACGGAACCTTTCCATCGGGAGGCTTGAGATCCAGGCCCCAGGGTTTCGGAGTTTCGTGTTTTAGGGCTGTAAGGTTTAGGCTAGTAGTGTGGGTGCTCGTCGGTGCTAAAGGTTTGTGGCTGAGGGCTTCGGGTTGAGGAATCTTTCTGCATTGGAAGCAAATGCCGCCTTCTGGTGGCAAGAAGTAAAAGCTGCAATCTTCAAGAGGTGCATGTGAAGGAAGTGGTATACCTGGCATGCTTTGCTATGCAATCTATTGCAGCGTGGTTTGATGTTGAATCCTTTTTGTAGTCCATCGTGGCAGAAGACGAAATTGCCCCGTGCCGCTTCCGAGCAACAGCGTCTGAGTCATCATCATAACTCTCTGACGTCACTGATGAAAGGCTTTCTGCAAGTTGAAGCCACGAACGCATCTGAGACATGCAATTGCAGGTCGGAGCTGTTCATACTTAGGGTTCGAATAGTTGAACATCGGAAAAGCAACCTAAGAGTACAATGTGGAAATATGGGGACCGGAAGCGAGACCCCACTTGCAACGCCATACACTGTATTCTTACAGTGCTCTAATGGTCTTTGAGTCGCTGTTGTAGCATACTCATGAACTGCCGGCTTTCGTGAGCTGTGCGCAGTGATGACTTGAATGTGCAGACTTGTTTGAATAACAATCGTGTAGCAGAAAGCCTACTCCCGAACCCAAGAGGCTTAGTTCCCGGAACCCTCAAGGCAAGTCACCACAAACTTTGGTGCATTTGTATCGACTGCATGCGCTCACTGCATAGCTGCTGAAGACATCGAATGAACTATCTGCAGATGCTAAGCCCTGCAGCTCAGACAGCCCGCTCACACCTGCCGCTGGAACTGACAAAGGTTCGGTACACGTTTATACAAGTTGTGTGCAGCTTCATAGGGCTTATGTAGAAGGTATGATGTACCAATTCGCAGTGTTGGTTTTTCCCGGATGATGCTGGTAGAGCATACCTTTGTGCAGGCTTGCAGCGCGACGGGAGGAAGACAGTGAAAAGGCAGGGCCGGATCCCAGCAGTGCCAAAGTGTATGTTGACAGTGACCGAAGCACCACACCCCAGCTTGTGCTCTGCCATTCATAGCGGTACGATTTCGGAAACTGCTCGAATGCCTCTCTTGCGTTGTGAATCATGGTTTTTCTCAAGCCCCTTGATTCTCTGTGGCTCCTGTCGGTGCCTGGCCAAGCGGCATGTCGAATGAGACAGAGCTGGCCTTAGTGCCGTCAGAGGGGCAGGAGCATGACGCAGCACCTTCATCCGTAGACCCCTTGGAGTTCCTTGGGCAGACAGAAGAGGGGGCACGCTTCAGGCAAATCTTAGCAGAGAGGCCCGGTTGGGTGCAAAGGGTTATCGGCGATGCTCTCCGCCAGGAAGTTCAGCACTCGTTCGCGAGGATTGCTGAACAGGCTGAGGCGGCCAAGCGAGTTGTCAGCGAGCTGCGGGAGATGTGTGGGTCCGACGATGCTATTGCGGTTGCCGAGCTGGCCAAGGAGTTGCACGAGTCCAAACTTTCTGCTCTGAAACGGGAGGCTCAGAAAATGAAAGAGGAGCTTGATCATCTGAAGCGTGACCTTGCCGAAGGTAAATGGAGCATTGTGGAGAGTCGAGCGAGGCGTTTGGTAAATCAAGCCGAGCGCTTCAGAGACAGGTATGAGCAGTTGCACCCCAGGCTGCAGCGACTTCAGCAGAAGATGCTCGAGATTGCTGAAAAGTGCACAGCAAAGGCTCAAGAGTCGAACGAGCTGATTGCAGAGGCCCAGAGCCGACAACAGTGGTGGTCGAGGATGGTTTCTGGAACGTGTCTAGGCCTCGTCGTGATCGGTGGTCTGCTAACCCTCGGTGGTGCAGTTGGCACTGTTGTGGTGGGATCAAGTGTAGGGTGCCTTCCCGGGACGATTTGGGGAGTTGTAGCTTTATTGACAGCAGTGGGTCAGGTTGCCACAGCGATTCGGAACGCCTGTGGAGGCCCAGTAGCAGCGGTGTCAGCAACAACACTGGCAGCGGCCAACTTCGCTAGCTCCACTATCTTTGACACACTTTCCAAGGTTGTTGTCAATACCGTTGCTTGGACAAGCAGGGCAGCCATGATATTGCCAGTCTTTTGGATCGGATGTGCCCTGGTTTTGCTGGGACAGGCCGGGCGGGACCTTCTGATGAGCTTGCTGCAACGCACGTGGGACGCAGAAATCCGAGGACACGAAGATGCCAAGACATGGTTCGAGAAGATAGGCCAGGGAGCCAGGGAGGCTGCCGCCAAGTTGGAAGCTGCCTCTGAGAGCAGTGACACCTTGCGACAGTGTGCTGACATGGTGGCAGACGCCGCAGACGAGCTTGCTGGCACGGCGCAGGATGCTAAAGCGTTTGCCGAAGGTTCTGAGGAGCTGTTTGGTGAGATAGCAAAAATGAAAAGTCAGGTTCATAAACTTTGCGAGAGATATGAACAGCTCCCGGCAGCCATTGATGAGCTGCAGCGAGCCGTTGCAGACTTGGCTTCCAATGGTCACCTCTCGTTGGAAGCAGGCGATGGTCACGCAAGTTTGCAGGAGCCATATGGAGAGGACCGCGCGCTAGAAGAGGGCATTGGTCATGCCAGTTTGCGCGAGGCAGGTAGCGAGGATCACATCTCGCACGAGAGCCTCGCCATGTCAGCAACTGCCCCTGCAGAGTCAGCCGATGTTGTCGATGGATGGATTCTCGTGAAGTCCTCATCCGGAGATGATGGCGATTGCCTGCCCCTGAACACATACATTCTTGTGCCAGTGGAGATGGCCGCGAGACTCGGTGCGCTTCCTGCAGCTGGACCTGCAGGAAACCGCATCTGTGAGCTGCGGTCCCGGGGAATCTCCGAGCGGCTCATGTCCGTTGTGTCCGTGGGTGGAGCTCTGCATCGCATGACGGCAGGCCATCCCTTCAGAGTGCTTCGGTCCGGGTCATGGATCCACGAGGCGGCCTCCTCATTGAGCGAAGGAGATATCCTCACCACCCCAGTTGGAGGGACTGCCGTGGATGCAATGCCAAGTGTTTCGATGAACGCCGAAGAAGTCTTTGAGCTGCAGACCCAGGAGCAGGGAGAAGAGATCTACATCTTCACCAGCACTCCGGGCAGAGATGGTGCTCCGATGTCCCTGAGCGGTGTGGCCGTCTTGGGCAGTGCTGGACCCAAGACCAGGTGTGCCTCCGCTCCACCCCGTCTGTACCACTTGCCCTCACAGGGCTCCCGCCTCTGCAAAGGGGGAACCCGTTGCAGCAACGTCTGCCGAAATTTCATCAAAGGCCGCTGTCTGCGCGGCCAGGACTGCTCCTTTTGCCACCGCTCGCACCCGGAGGAGCCGAAACGGCCAGCACGCGGCAGAAGAGATGATGCGTGAAGCAGCCGCAGCGCCTGAGATTTAGGAGAGTTCACACCTGACATGTGTTCTCTATGTAGAGATGGACGGAGTCCTCCGCGACACTTGAACGAGCGCTGCTCGATGTGCCAATTCGCTGCTGTAGTTTCTGTGCGGTTCAATGCAAAGGCTGCCTGTGCAGTCCTAATTTGCGCGACGAGGGTTCCAGTTACGGCCCGGTCGTCTTCCCGAGCTGCCCAACCTACAGCAGTAAGAGCACCCCTTAAACAGCTCCTACATATGTTTTCGGCTAGACTAGAATGATTACGGGCCCCTGAAATAGTATTTTCGCTGAGGCTATTGTTCATAATTATTGCTTTATAGACCAGAATCGTTAAGGCCCTTGTAATAGCACTTCTACTATGGCTATTATCATCATTGCTGTAGGGGGCTCCCTGCCAAGTCAGCAAGACCGAGCGCTGCTCGAATGCTTTGGACAGGGAGCTCCGGGCAGCTCTCTGACTCGAGGCTTTCGGAGTTCCTGCCGCTTAGAAGGGGTTCAGGGGGGTTTAGGGTCTAGGGTTTACGGCTTACGGTCAGAGCTCGGTTAGAGGCTCCCGTCGGTTTAGGGGTTTAGGGTCTAGGGTTCAGGCGGGTTCAGGGGGTTTTGGGGGTTTAGGATCGGAGGATATCGGAGGTTTATGCGGTTTTAGTGGATTTGAGGGGTCTAGGTCTGGGTCAGGGTTTAGGGTCTGTGCGACACCGTTTACATCCTCTGCGGCCACAAGAAAGAGGATGGTGCGAAATGCAAGATGAGAGTAGAGGGCTTTGCTATGTGTCAGTGTGCAACATCCTCTGCTACATCCGCTGGATCCCAACATCCCCCGACGTGCCAGGTGCTTGCTGCTGGCGGCTACGGCTTGATGAGATGCTCTTTGTAAGCGGTGATCAAACAGTTCGGGGCCGGGGCGCGAGTCGCACGGAAGCTTCATCACGGTGTTGCCCTAGCGTCCATGCCATTTATCCTGGCAGGGCCGGCATGCTTTGGCAGATCGCTGCTGGTGCTGTCAGGTGTAAACGGTGTCGGTGCATGCAAGTCTTGTCTTGCATGTTTTTCTGTGTGATGGGGTTGCTTTTCTTCCTAGTCCGTTACATTTGTGGTGTTTTATGTTGTGTACGTATTCTGCGTTGTGTCCCAGAGCACTCTCGACAACATGACTGCTGCGCTCATGAACTTGGAGTTGTCGTGATGGCTTTTTTGTTCTCGGGTCCCGACGGTCCATCCCAAACAGCCAGTGATGATTCCTACACCCAGGAGCGCCTAGCTCCGAGCCGTTCGTTTCGCAAAGGACGATGATTGAGAACCCTAACAACCCGAGGCCCTAAAGCCCATCGGCTGAGCCTCTGCAGAAAAGGCCCATTGCACTTAACGAAAAGCCCTTAGGACCTAGACCGTCAGCCCTCTGCCCTGACGACCCTCAGCCCAAAGCCGGCGTGAAAGACTCCTTGAAAGGCCCTGAGCTCCTACACCCTGCTTTTAAAGGGTGACCCAACGTCCAACGTTACTGAAGCCACAATCCTCAAGAAGGGATCGTCGGAGCTTTACGCCCTGAGCTTCTGGTTAGTATTTGGGCTTTACTTGGAGGGTCCGGAGACTTTGTAGTAGTGAGTAGGTAATAAGTAGACGTATCAGGTACCCTAAATGGGATCCTAGTTGGGGTTATGATACGTATCAGTCTATCCTTTATCTGCTTACCAAGTCCCCCAGCCCGCCAAGGAAGGTTTTCTTGTGCCTCTGCCGTCCTCAAGGTTCAAGACTTGTAGATATTTTGTGGATTGGCGGCATTGAGCTGCTTGGGCTCTGCGTACAGTCTTTCCGCAGGCGCGGCGGGGCGGGGTGGGGTGCTTAGTGCAGAAGCCTGAGTAGCTCCCATACTATTCCTGGGGGTTCTAAATATGTTCAGAAAAATTAAGACTTTTATATACTCCAGAATTAGTACGTCCCCAAACCCTCATATGTTCTCCCCACCCAAAGGCTTCTCCGAGCCCCTAAACCTTCATCCGAAAAGCGTAAAGCCTTGGCCCTCAAACCCAAAATATACCTCAGCCCGAAACCCTAAAGCCCCCAAACCTCAACCCTAAACCCTAAACCTTAAAACCCAAAAAGGGAACTCTAGTCTGCATCCCGAATCTATCCACCAAACCGTGGCAACCCTAGTCCTGGGCCCTAAATCTTGGGGCGGGGGGAGGGGGTTGCAGTTTCTTTCCCGGTCGCTTGTTCGAGCTTGTGGGTTATGGCGTCTCTTTGGGGGGGGGCTCGGGGGCACTTGTAGCTCTATGTACGTACTGTCTACCAATTCGCCCGACCCTTTCACAAGTAGTAGGGATCTTGAGGTAGCTCTCGGGCAGAAGAAGGGTTTAGGGTCCAGTGTCCCGATCCTCAAAGCGCATGCTGATGTCCTCGACCCTGGCGACTACAGCCCAAGGCGTAGACCGTAAAGGACCAAGCCACACCTTGAACCTTAAATCCTGAACCCTAAACCCTGGAACCCTTCGTCCCGAAATCCTGAACCTTCTAGCCCTATGTCCCGATATCCTGAGCTCTTTGATGCTGTAGCCTTAAGCCCCTGCAGCCCCAAACCCGAGACTCCCGAATCCCGACTGAAGGGGACTGAAGGAACCCTTATACGGTTTCTGCAGGTCGGTGACTCTCCCTAGATTCGTTTTTTTTCTGTTTTCGGCTTTTGATTTAAGTTGTTATTGGTTTAGGGGTTGCCGCGATTTTGTTTGCCTGGTTTTGGTTTGGGATCGAGAGTTTAGGTTTCAGTGTTTCAAAGTGTAGGTTGAGTATCAACGCAGATGTACCTTGAGCCTGCGCCCCTTTGCCAACACCCAGAGACTCCAAAAGCCCCTCATTAAGGAATAGACCTTTAAATCATATTCCGGGTTCCTCTCATAATATACGGTATATTCCTTAACTAAGGGCTTTTTGGAGTCTCTGCCAACACCTGGCCAGGAACAATGGTACAGATCGAGGCTGGATTCTCTCCGTGTCGGAGCCGGGCTTCTGGAGTTTCAGGTGGCGGTCGGAATTTCATGTGAGCGTTTTTCCTTTTTTTGGGGGTTCTTGTGCCAATACTAGGAGGGCGATTAGCGAAAACTCGGTCGCTTAAATGGTGCACACCCTTTCGAGTGAGGGTCGTTCTACATTATGGGCCTTGTTGACGCTGTATGTTAGTGTATGTGCTACTGTATGAGCCCCAGACGGACTGTAATCTGGAAAAAAGGCTCGTGCCGCATGCACAAAGCAGTAAACCCTACACACTGAAATCTGGGCAGGTAGTTTTTGATGAGGGGTATCATACTCCAGCTAAAGTAAAAGTTGCGCAGCAATTCCTTGCCCACACAGACGGATGCAACTATATATTGCTTTGATCCAACAGGGCCAACGACACCTCAACTATGCAAGGGCTCTGAAAATCGGTGCCTGCCGTTGGGTTTACAGCCTACACCCTAAATCCTCTAAACTTCAAACTCAGCCCTAATCCTACTATTCTACAAGCCATAAGCCCTCAACTTGAACCAACTGCCCAGCCGTTGATGCATGTGCACGTGCCACATGGACAGACGCGCTCAAACCGGTTCTTTCTGACTTTGTCATTGTCGGTTGTGAACGGTACCGCAGTCGTCGGGCGAACGGTACGCACGCAAGAGAAGCCCAACAGAAGGGAGAACCTTGCACGGACCGTCAGGCAAGACCACCAGATTCTCGGGTAAATTGTGGGAAGATGCTGACGCTCTTTTCCAGGGCCTTGTTGGGAGACTTCCCGAGAGTGTGAAGACCGTTGCCGACAACAACGTCGCATGGCTTCCAACCTCCCAGGACGTGGTTGACGCCCTCTTGGAGGGTCGGAGGACTTAGTAACTAGTTATTTTAGAGACTTATAAGTACCATAACCCCAATTAGGATCCCTTTTTAGGGTACTTATAAGTCTACTTACTAACCACTTACTAAGTCCCCTAAAGACCCTCCAAGCTCGCTCCATACACAGCCCAGTGGGTCCCAAAAGTAGTGGCGGCTTGCCTGAGCAGTGGAGCACGCAGCCCCCCACTCTAAAAAGGCTGTGATTAACCGATGCCCATTCGTGGCGGATCTCGCGAGCCACTGGGCAGTTCACGCACTATTGCAGGCTGCACTCGTGGTGCCGTGTCATGCATGAAACTGTCGTCATGAGTCTTGCGCCTAAGGCGAGACTTGGGCTGTGCAGTAGCAGGCCTAGGACCTGCAATGGCAGCGCTGGGTGTAGCATCAGACGCTGATCGTGGTGCCGTATTGTGCAACTGTGCGCCATCATGAGCATCTTGCGGGGCTTTACGCCTAAAGCGTGCCCTGCTCTGAGCACTCGCGACAGATGAAACAACAGCTGCACCTGCACAGGGCGTGGCAGCATGTCGTGGTGCATTGGGGGGTGAATGGCCGGTGGACGGGGGGAGGGCGGATGTGTGGGGTTGGGGTCTTGCATCGGCAGGAGCAACAGGAGCAGATGATGCAGATGGATCTGGAGCCTCGCTGTCATAGCGTGCTCTCATGCCAGGTGTGACCCAGTCGGGAGCCTTCGGGACAGGAAGAACGGGCCGGCAGGTAGTCCTGGCAAAATTGGCATGACGGTGCTTCCAAGGCCAGGAACGCCCGCAAGCAAGACAGAAGATCAAACCATAAGTGGCCGTATTGGCAGCGTCTTTGCCGTTTTTGCGATTCCACACAATGTGATGATGGCCCGTGTTGAGCACATCCTGAAGGTTGGCCTGAAGATCATCGAGCCTAGACGTGGCCTGCATCCGGCCTGGGGCGGTGAGCCATCTGGCCTGGGGAAGGTCCTTGTTGCGACAGACCTTGTTCAATATCTTGGCGCGGAGGTGCTTGGTGTATTGTGTTTGCTTGCCGCACTTGACGCAGAAAAGACCGCCATCAGGGCGGGCTTGAATGACGTGTCCACGACGCTCAGCCGGCACAGCTTGTGCCTGCTGTACGGGTGGATCGG